TTCACAGTAGCAGTTGTTACACCACCTCAGGTACTCTAACATGAATGTGACTTGCTAACAGGAGAGAGTGGCAACAGAATAAAAATGGAGGGGTAATTACTTTCAGAAAACAAGCACTAATTGTCTGTGACAAGCCTCCAAGATCTTGGTTCTTGTGATAGATGAGTGGTAATATGATATTAGAGATGAGCAGGGATGAGGAGGTTATACTGAGCTGAAGCTGACCAGCATTTTGTTACTGAGGCTGAGAGTTTGTAACTTCCTCCATCCGCTGCTTTAAATGAACTGGTAGGTGGCAGGCAATGTCCTTCACAGAAGCAGTTGGTTGAATAAGGGCCAAAGTCATGGAATGTCAAAAAAGAAAATTAAAAAAATCAGAGCTCAAGTGAGGAAAAGCCAAGTGAGTCAGCTTTAGTATAGGCAGTAACACTGACATTATATAGTGCAAACAAGAAAAGACAGAAAAGTGTTTCTCGTTGCCTACCAACGCCGCTGTGAAACTCAAAAACGCAGGTGCAAACCCTTCAGTAGGAGAACATTAAGACATAAAATGGCGAAAAAAATAAATATCAAAAACTTTTTATCAGTGTAAAAAAGTAATCAGGTTATTTGTTTTAACCAAGAGTCTGGCAAAAAAGGCCTCAAAAAGTCTTGTCCTCAATAGTTCCTCGACGTTTTACAAAGTTAAGTGCCGGCTTTGTAGGTTCAGGGACCTCGCACAGGACGCGCTCAGCCCTGGGCCTCTGAGGGACCTCCCTCACACCAACGACTCCATGCTCTCTGCCTGGTCGGACTGGTCGGACATGGACACCATGGTCCCGGTTATGTCCCTGGCCAGAGGACCCAAAGTGTTCTCTGTGGTGCTGATGAGGCTGAGCAGAGCTTTGTATAGGTACTGGTACTGGTCCTGTGGACCAATCAGAGACAGGTAGAGAGAAAAGGTGAGAACAAAATAATGCTTTTCTTCTTGAGCCAAATCCTACAGTTATACTGTCGCTAGATTATAGTTATACTGAGGCCATGTGTTATTTCCACCAGAATTGATAATCAGCCATAACGTCTTTGTTCTGTTTGTACTGGTCTGAACTCGTGAAACAAATAGACCCATGCATGTGTGATTTACTTAAGCTCCTCTTAGACAAGAAACATGCAGGGGTCATACAGAAGGACAGTTTACAGTGTTGTCAGACTCACAATGTCTGTGAAGACTCCTGGCCTCATGAGGTTGATCATCTTAGCCACTTGGTAGATGTCGACGGCACCCTCATTCTCCAGCTGCTGAGACAAGGTGGTGAGGGCACACAACATGCCAGCTGACACCGCTCCCAACCTGACAACCACACACAAACAAGAGGAAAAAGTCTGTGATTTAATCTGTTTTAATCTATTTTCTCCACACATGTGCCTGACGGTTTGGTTCCAGGTTGTGTCTGAATGAAATGGAAAATGGAAACTTACAATAATATAAAAAACTACTGTTTTGGGTCCATTCTTGTAGTCATTCAGTGTCTTGTAACTGCTTTTTCACTCCCTCTGGTTCACATTATCATTATACCTTTGTTAGCAACAAAATTGTTTTCTTGCTACTCATTCTGAAATTGAAATTCACCACACTTCTT